AGACCCGGCTACAAACACCCGAAACGGTGCCGGGAGACACGAACCTGGCTACAAACACCCCAAACCCGGCTACAAACACCCCAAGACCCGGCTACAAACACCCCAAGACCCGGCTACAAACACCCGAAACGGTGCCGGGAGACACGAACCTGGCTACAAACACCCCAAACCCGGCTACAAACACCCCAAGACCCGGCTACAAACACCCCAAAACCCAGCTACAAACACCCGGAACGGTGCCGGGAGGCACGAACCCCCCGTACAAACACCCCAAAACCCGGCTACAAACACCCAAAACGGTGCCAGGAGACACGAACCTGGCTACAAGCACCCAAAACCTGGCTACAAACACCCCAAACGGCACCCAGGAAACACGAACCTGGCTACAAACACCCCAAAAACCAGCTACAAACACCCAAAATGGTGCCGGGAGACACGAACCTGGCTACAAACACCCAAAACAGCGCTAGGAGACACGAACCTGGCTACAAACACCTCGAAACCCGGCTACAAATACCCCAAAACCCGGCTACAAATACCCAAAACGGTGCCAGGACACACGAGCCCGGCTACAAATGCCCCAAAAACCTGGCTACAAAAACCCCAAAACAGCGCCCAGGAGACACGAACCTGTCTACAAACACCCAAAATACAGCTACAACCACCCAAAACAGCTTTGGGGAGATACGAACCCAGTGCAAACGCCCCAAAACCCAGCTAGAAACACCCCAAACCCGGCTACAAACACCCCAAAACAGCACCCGGGAGGCAGGAACCTGGCTACAAATACCCAAAATGGCACCAGGAGACATAACTGTGCTACAAGCACCCCAAAACCCATCTACAAACACCCCAAAAGAGCGCTGGGAAACAACCTGGCTACAAACACCCAAAAACCTGGTTGCAAACACCCAAAACGGTGCCGGGAGACACGATCCCAGATACAAACACCCTAAAAGCCAGCTACAAATACCCAAAACAGCGCCCGAGCGGCCGCAGAGTAGCCCAGGCCAGAAGGGATTTAACAAAAAAGGGGAAAAAACAGAAAAAATCACAGCCCTAAAACAAGTGGGCAGCAGCAGGGGCCCCAGGCTGCTACTCCGGGAGCCCCGCGGCTCCAGCGACAGCAGCTTCCTACTTTTTATTATTATTATTATTAGAGGCTGTATCAAAAATTTCCTAAAAATAACGAGAGTGGAGAGTTCACCGATTTGTTTGTGGCTATTGACTTTCTGGTGCCTTTTTTTTTTTTTCTCTCTTTTTTTCCCCCCTTTTCTCCCCTTCCTTCCCCGTCAGCAGTGGCTGGGAGCGCCGGGGGCGGCGGGAGGTGGCTCCAGGATGGTGCCCCAAAGTGGAGCCAAATGCGAAGCGATGGCGCCGCACTATGGAAAATAAACAAAAATAGCCAAAACAGTTGGGGAAGTGTGAAAAAATAGAGTGAAAAGGGAAAAGAGAGGATCCCACCATGACGCCGGTGGGCAGGGATGCTCATGGGAGCCGCTGGAGCCACCTCCGAGCATCCCGTCCCTGGTGGAAGGTTTCTCAGCCCATCGGAAAATGGGATCGCTTGGATTAATCCCTTCACCCCCTCAAAAAAAAAGGCTAAAAATGGGAAAAAAGAAAAAGAAAAAACAACCTTCCCCCACCAATACTTTGTCCTCTAGATCCACCCTATAACTAGACCCCCTGCAACAACCACCTCTCCCCCTTGTCCCCCAAACGATACATCCACGTTTAGGTAAACAGCAGAATTAAACGTAAAAACTTAAAACCGTTGACTTCAGAAAGTCCCTTGGATTTAATTTTTTTTTAACTTTTTTTTTTTTTCATTTTTTTTTAGGCTACCTTTCATGTTACGTCCTGTAGCTAGACACACGTGAATAGAAAAAAAGAACAGTACAGTTAGTGTTAAAGGCAAACAGCGGAGACCCAGAGCGCGACGCCAGAGCTGCCTGCCCGCCCGGCCCCCCCGGCCCGGAGAAGCCCCCGCCGCCAGAAATACGTTTTTGAGCCAACATCTTCTTTTTTTTTTTTTTTTTTTTTTTTTTTTCTTTTTTTTTTTTTTAATAAAAAAAAGGGGCTGCGGGCCCGCGGGCGGCCCCGGCGGGCGGAGGCGCCTTCTGCAGCGAGAGCCGCCCGTCCGTTAAGGGGGGACGTAGGGCGGCGGGGACCTGTACGGGGTCATGTTCTTCGGGCGGGAGCCTTTGCCCTCCATGGGGGCGGTGAAGGGCGGTGGCGGCTGGTAGGGCGGCGCGTTGGGGTCCTCGTCGCGCAGCGGCGCGTACTCCCCGATGGGGTCCTGGTTGAGCGGCGTGGTCTCGGGCACGCTCTGGTTGGGGTACTCGGGAGGGGGCAGCGGGGCTTTCTCCTCCTGGAGGATGAGGGGCATGCTGGAGGACGGCGGCGGCTTGGAGTCGTCCAGCTCGTCGGCGAAGATGATGGGGACGCCCTTCTTGATGAAGGTGGCCTGGTCCTCGATGGTGAGCTTCCCTTTCCGCTTCTTGCGGTAGCAGATCATGGCGATGATGCCCGCCACGAGGAGGATGGCGGCCACCACCACGGCGGGGATCACCGTGTGCAGGTACACGTCGTCCTCGCTGCTCTTCTCGGGGTCCTTGCCAGCCGCCACCGTCGGCGTCGCCTCCGACGCCACCCTGCCGTCCTTGGTCACGGGGATGAACTGCATGTGGCGGCAGCTGCCGGAGCCGACGACCGACACGTTCAAAGGCTTGAACTCCGGCTGCAAGACGTTCGCCAGAGCCGGGCTCGGGCCTCCGGCGTCATCCGCGATCCTCCTGCTCAATGTCCGGATCTGCTCCCGGGGGCAGGGCTCGAGGGGCAGCGTGTTGTTCGTCCACTCCACGACGATGGAGCCTTTGGTGATGCCCTGCACCGTGATGGTGCTGCTGTTCCTGTCGCCGAATGCCAGAGCCAGCTTCTTCACCAGCATAATTTTTTTATGGATGTCGTTCGCCACTGCGTTGTGGTCTCCTTCCAGCCTGGCTTTGAACTTCACTGGGGCCTTGTCCCCGTGCGGCCGCTTGTGCACGTGGATCTCAAAAGCGTCCACAGCAAAGAGGCCGCCTTTGTCGGTCGCGTACATGAAGTACTCGTGCTTCCCCACGTGGTTACGGTCAGGCATGCCGTACATGAGCTGACTGGTGCTGTTGAACTGCACCCACGAGTTCTCTTCTATCATCTGCTGCTCCTTCAGCTTCAGGGTGAGCTGCAGCTTGTCCGTGGTGGTGTCCTCCTTGTCATAGAAGGTATCAGAGGGTATTTTAACCTCGAAGTACGTGCCCTCCCACGCGTCAACCCTGTCGATGTGGTTGGTGAGCTTGGGCGGCTCATTGGGCTCCCAGGGCCGGGGGAGCCCGCTGGCCGTGGTGCGTGCGCGGCTCGGTGGCGATGCCGTCGTCAGCTTGGTGGGGGGGGATCTCGTGGTGCTCGGAGGCTTGGTGGGCCGCGGCGTTTTGGGTCTTCGGGTAGGCCTTCGCGTCGTCGCCGTGGAGGAATCGGTGGTGGACGGGGTGGCTGGCTTCAGGGGGGAGACTCGCGGCTTCTTGGGGGCGGTGGGTGGGGGGGTGATAACGGTCGGGGGCGCTACTGACCGTGGGCTTCCTCGGCAGCGGGATGGGCTCCCTGACTGGGGGAGCTGTGGTCTCCGTGGGAGGCGCGATGGCCGGCGACGTTGGCGTGGGGACGATCCTCGTCGGTGGCTCTTGGGCCGCGGTGGTGGGTGGCCCGATGGCAGTCAAGGGTGTGGGGGTGGCATTGATCTGCCGCCGCATCCTCTTGGGGAGATGAGGTTTCTTGTTAGCAATGTGCCAGCCAACAACAGGGTAGCCAAGGCGGGCAGACATGGTCCCCTCTTTAGCCGGAGCCTCAACATTGCTGATGTTGGGGACGGTGTTTTGGCTCAGAGAACATCCCAGTTTCCATGAGAGTAAGGCCCCATTTTCCACCACCTTCTTTGCGTTTCCAGGTCCTGCCATGAAGGCGGACATGTCAAAAAGTCTGTTATTTACAACAGGAACCAACTTCATGTTATGAAGTTCCATCTGCGAGAAGCTTCTCATTCTCTTTAAAAGTTCAATCCTCTGCTTTGGTGTCATTTTTGTTAGGTCGGCATCCAAAATGACGGTCAGGATAGTGACCGGCTCTTCCAACCCACACGCAAACAGCGCTGCCTCACCCATATCCTGGAGAACCACTCTCAAGGACTGAGGCTCATTGTGCTCCTCTTGGTGCACCTCAATGGAGAACACGTTTGCTGCCTGCGGCACGTGGCTCCCGTTGGGGAACACCTGCAGCGTGGTCACCGAGATGTAGTGGACGCCCTTGTCTGTGTCAAGGGGCAGGCCTTCGAGCGAGCTGCTCTCCGCGTTCCAGTGCAGCCACGAGGGCAAGGAATCCTTCCCCGCCTCAGAGATCTGTAAACAGGAGAGACACAAGAAAGCGCTTTTAGGAGGAGGGCATCAGGACTGGTTCTACCGGCAGCGCAACCACCGAGGAAGGACCTCCCTGGCCAGGATGGGGCAGTGTGTCTCCATCTCGGCATGGTGACACAGGCTGCTTGTGTTGCAGACACCTGTCCCCACAGGCTCAAGGGGCCTGGCAAGAAGAGTGGCCCAACGCAGCACGTGATGTTGGGCCCCAAAGGCCTCCTGCCTGCCTGGTGCCAGCTCTCCAGCCCTCGTCACGCAGCTCCAAAGCACAAGCGATTCCTTTTCTCTGAGGGCAGAAGGGTAATTTAAGATGAGGGACAGCTACAAAGTTGAGGGTGAAGCTACGTGACACGGGCAAGCCCATCTAAGGGCGCAGCACTGCTGCAAGTGGCCGCGCTCCTCCCTCTTCCTTCTCTCCCACCCCTGCTATCCCATCTCCTTCTTCCCCTTACAAAGCAATTCACCCTGATAGCCTGGCAAAACCCAGCCTTTTCAAAGTTATTCTGCTGGCTAATGGACTCGATTAGCTCAGGAAAGGTCAAGGCTAGGCCAGTAGAGGGCTGGAGGGGACGGTTGGGGGCAGTGACCACTTAGCAAAGTCCTTCAGGCAGCACCCCCTGACTTTGGTTCTGCTCTCCAGACACTGGAGGTCTCTAACAAGCTGCGCCGCTTGTGCCACAGTGCTTCATGTCTTGCACATGGCTTCAGGCCCGTTTACCTCCCCCAAGAGCCCGGCCAGGCCCCAGGCTCGTGCCTGGAAGCAGCTCCCAAAGGACCCCAACTACCTCAGCGAGGTGCTGCTGGTGGGGGCACCACGGCAGCTGAGGCTAGTACAAAGCTCAGCGCCCCTCACCTCTTCCTAGCTCTCAGTTAGAAAGAGATATCAAAGAGCTGCTTGGCCGTTTGAGGAAGGGCAAACCAAGGACCTACAAGAGGCAACCACCACCTCGGTTTGGTCACCACAGAGTGTGTGGCAGCGCTGCGGCCGCCAGCTTGGGCAGGCAGGCGCACGGACTCAAACTGCACTTAGACAGGCGCGTACAAGAAAAATCTGCTGTTAACCTTAAATGTGATGTGTGGCATGGGTGAGTGGAAGCCAATTTAAGAGTGAGAGGCTTTCCTCAGGACTGCAGCAGTCTAAGGGAAGGAGGAATGCATGGGAAGCCTCCCGACTTCCATAGGCTGGAGAGAAGGAGAGGCAGAGGTGGCCTCCCCAGCTGCCTTCTCAACTTACTTGCTCTATATCCACTGGCTTTTCCCCATGGTCATCATCCCGAGGCCACCCTCCTTCTCAGCAAGTACAGGCCGCCGTCCTGCCCGTGCGCGGAGCCAAGGACAGGCACGTCCCACCCTGGGCACGTCCCTCCCTGGGCAGCTGACGTGCAGCTCCGCTGCGAGCCCCGTCTCCACGGTACAGGAAGGACACGTCCAGGAAGCCCCAAAGCTTCATTTGCTCCCGTTTTGCTTCTAAATCACAGGGGCATAAGGGCAGGGGAAGGGGCAGCCGCAGCGCGGCGGCAGTCGCGGCGCTCCATGAGGCCTCGCGGAGCGGCACCACGTCCAAGCGGCGCAGGTCACTTCCCTGGCTGCTCTCACACTTCTCGGCTGCAAAGAAAAGCGCCTCTACTTCAAAAGGCTGGGGAGGAAAAACAAAGAGCAGGATTGTTTGCTGCCAGCAACACTGAGGCCAGAGAGACAGGGAGCGGGCTGGAAATCCGAGACAGGGCTTGGGTTTTAGCAGGACTCCGGAGCATCTTCCAGGCACTCTCGGCAGGCAAAGCCTCCCAGGCTCCCGGACAGGTCCCAGGAAGCAGCGGGCACAAGGCAAGGGCCATCTCCTGGCTCCGAGGGGTCTCTCTCCCTCACAACACTGCCCTGCGTGCGCGGAGCGGCGGGGAACGGTGCCAGCGGGCCCTGCGCTGGCTTGGCTCCTCCGTGCTCTCCCGGGGCAGGAATGTGCCCGTTCCTGGGGATGGAGACTCCACCAGCAGCTACCAAACAGCTGAGTGTGACGCTCCGGTGAACGTGCTTTCATTCGGCTTTGTGGCTTACCCATTTATCTGACAGCAAACTTAGTTTTGGCAATGTTACATGCTGCTTCTGCCTCTCCTCGCCGCAAAAGGAGAAGCCGCTTTTGCCAAAGGAGAAAGGAGGATTTTACCTGGCACGGACACATTGAACCAAGCCTGTCTGCTGCAGGAGCAAAGGACCAAACTGTCCTTTCTTGGGCATTTTAGCCCAAGGGGGACAAATGCAGAGTGTCCTCCCACCCAGCCAGGAACTGACTTGCAGTTGGGCCCCTTCTCACAAAAATAAAAATAAAAAATAAAATAAAACAAGCACACCCCCAAAATTGAGGCATCAGGCCAGCATCTGTTAGATTTTAGAATTTAAATTGCCAAGAGCCAGACTTTGCCACTGTCCCCTCATGCTAAAATTAGCCACTAACCTGCCCACAGGAGGGGAAGAAGGACAGGGCTCGGCCCAAGGCAGGAGCCCGGTCAGGACAAAGCCACAGCTTTCACAGACAGGAAGGATAAAACCCTTTGAGGTGCTTAATGCTTGCTAAAAAGTGTAATTAAAGGCTACGCTTGGAATAACTTCTTTCCCTCCTGTGCCCTCCACAAGAGCCTTTAATTACAGGATCACCCACTCAGCACCGTTTTCCTGTGATCTGGCGCTTTCAGCCGCACGGGACATGCGTGGAGCGGGAGCCAGGGAAGCGAGGGCCAAGGGCAGGGAGAGACTCGTCCCCTGCTTTTCTTGAAGAACATCTACTGAAAAGCAGCCCTAGGCACCTTCGTTCTCAAAGTCAGAACACTGGGTCCGAACCTGACCCGACTCAGAATGGTTCTAAAGAACCAGTGCTAGATAATTAACTTCGGGTAGATGCTCTCAGGTGAAAAATAAGGCTCTTTTGAAAAGCAAAATCACTTCCTGACCAATCACTTTTTTGGGACAGCTCATTCTAGCAAGGATGTGACAGCTCCAAAATGTTTAGAAAAACCAAAAACACTTAAACTTGTTTCAAGAAGAGCTGAACCAGTTCAGCTGTCTCCAATCTGTGAAGATACGCGGGCTATTTGTGAGGGTTCTGCACCAAGGCAATTAATATAACCAGATGTACATGTATGACACACACAAAATCCGGGACGCTGTCTGTGCCTCCCCTGGGAAATTTGAGGGAAGTTACCAAGTGAAGAAGAGTCAAAGGCACCGCTCTGCTTTAAACACAGCCATTGCCCTGCCAGCAAAGATTCACCCAGGCAAACCCTGCAAAGGAAGAGCCTGACAAGATTGGACTGGATAATCCGAGCAGTTATTCTGGCCTTGCAGCCCCTCGGGCTGAATCAAACTCCTTGTTCACGGAGGATCATGAAGCAGGGACCTTTGCTTGGGTTTGTCCCGGCCGCAGTGGTCCGTGTTACAGTACTTTGGTGTTCAGCCCGGCCCATCCTGCTCACTGGGGTGTTTGGGGCAGAGCAGAGGGCCCTGGACTTTCTTCTAGCACCATTTCTTTCAAATATTGCTTCAAACAGTATTTGCTGGGGCTCCACAGAGTTAATGATTTGGGATCTCTAGCTTTCCCGTTATAACTTTTCCGGTTTTGTATGTACACAAGAAATATTGGCCTTAAGTCCAAAGCCCTGCCATTTTCCTCAAGGGGTCTGGTTTCAAAATACCTCTTCTGTTGCTCAAGGGGGGGATAAAAAGGCTGTCTTTGTGCTCCTATTATTTGAGATAATTGTAAATGAATGCTTATCGGGGAAAGATTACACAAGACGGTTAAGAAATTAGCCGTGTTTGCAATTTTAAATCCATACAGCGGCCTGGCCGGCTTTGAGGACCCTGTTCCCAAAGTCCTTCTGGATACAGGCGGCCTGTTATTCTAGGCCCGCCAACTGCCGACAGGCAGCTCCTAAAAGGAGATAGCTCCATTTGATTTGTTTTCTAAACTCGGGTCTTACAGCCCTGGAGTTCAGCCGAACAAAGATAAGCAAACACGAAGCGAGCAAAACTGCTGCCTCTAAGGGAATCTGAGCACGAAAACACATTCTTGCCGATGACCCTCCGGGTATTTACTCCTCCTCCTCCTCCTCCTCCTTTCAAGGAATCCTGCAAAAATGGAAGCAAATGTCCCTTGCCAAGAGATGGGCTCCTTGGGATCTGTCTCTGAGCTCACCCTGCTACACCGTGCCGAAATCCCAGCCTTGGGGCCAAGCACTTGGGAAGCATCGAGGGATCTTCCAGACTATGTTTTACCAGACCCTTGCCAACCGGCAGCAGGCAGGGACGCAGCCCCTCCTCAGAGCAGCTTCCTACGCCCTTTCAAATCATCCCTAGAAGAATTTTGCAACTGTTTTGCAGCTGGAAGCGAGCAGGGATCCGCCTGCAGCTCTGCCAGATCTTCCAGTGCCCCCAGTTGTCCCCTCTCAAAGGTCCATCTGTTGCTGAGGGACGGGCCAGCATGCCAGCGATTGCACGAGGATTACACTTGCTGATGGTTGTTTACTGTACAATAGGCTCTTAGTCTTGGTTGCTCCTTCTGGATTATCCTAATATCCATGGGCAATAATGGAAAACATCATGGGGGCCCTCTCTCGATCCGGACAGAGGGCAAACTGAGCTCCATTTAGGATGAGCGAGCTGCTGCGGGGCACTGTTACTCGCAGAAGAGCAGCAGTCCTAGCTCAGAGCAGCTCCACAGGCTTTCCCTGTGTCCCATGCAGGGCAGACAGTAAAGGCTCCAATTCCACACCCGCACTGCCACAGATTTTGCTGGGAGACCTGGCGCTGCCTGTGATTTTTGGTGCTGGCACGGCCAAACCTGCCCGTGGGCATCCTCAGCAGCCCATGCTCCTCTGAGCACCAACAGCTGCTTCAGGTGAAGGTGGGACCCCACGGACACGCATCAGCTGCTCCAGGATGTCCCACACAGAAGCATCTGTCCCTGGAAGTCTCAAAACAGCCTGCAGGCTTCACCA